TGGTGCCACCTGGGTCCCCGGGCCACAGAGATGAACAAGAACCATCTCTGTCCGCCCAGACCCGACAGCCCTGGGGGGAGTGGGGGCGAGGCCGGCATCTTCACTCCCTTAACGGACACCGCCTCCGTCCCCTGAAGAACCGTCTCCCCCTGGAGGTTCACCTTGGTAGAGCAGCCTCCACGAAGGTGCCAGGAACCTTTTAAAGAATCGACAGGGTCCCAGTGGGTCTTGGAGGGTGGATGGTCCAGGAGGCAGAGCTGGTGCTCCCGGGTTCTGCTGCGTTTCTGTGTGGGAGGCGAGTGGGCGGGCCGGCAGCCTGGGAGGGGCATCATCAGGCCCGGGTTGGCGGCCCCTCCGGTCTCTTCCCGGCCTGGCTTCCCCTCCCGCACTGCCCACCTGCCCCTCCTTGGCGCCGTTCTGCCAGGTGGGTCCTGCCCCTCAGGTATGGCCTCTGTCCCGGGGGGGATTCCTGCAGACAAAGCCTCCTGGGAAGCCATGAGGCCTCTCTTCCTGCACTCCCTCCCCTGGGGCCCGTGAATGAGTGCCAGGCCCCCCTGACTTGGCGTCCGTGTCTTTGGGGGGAAAGGAGAGTGGGACTGAGAGGGGCCACTGAGGAGGGAGAAGCTGTAATACCTGGCAGATGCCCCAGGAGGCAGGGGCAGCGAAGCAGCCCTCCAGGCTCTGGTTTGCTGGAGCGCTTTGGCGCATCCCACCTGAAGCTTCTTGGTGGAGAAGGGAGAGCCCGCCCCCCCGCACCCCTCCCCGCCCCTCCAGGTGCCAGGGTCTTGCTCTGCTGGTTCCTACACGTCCTGAGCTGCTGAAAGGGGGTGCTGCCTGAGGAAGGGCTGCTGGGCTGGGGCACAGGTCCCCACCCCTTGGGACCCCTTTCCTCGCCCTGGCAGAGGGCACAGCCTGTGGATGCCGACAGTGGGTGTCCTGCGGTGGGCGCACCTCTGAGCTGACCTGCAGGCCCCTGGCCCTCCCTTCTGTCCGTTCCCAGGAGCCACAGCCTGACATTCTTACACAAAACTGCATGCGAACCGCCGTCTTCCTGGTGCTTTCGTTCTCACACTGCCTCTGAGGGTTCGAGTGTGTTTTTGTTGAAATGAAGAGGGGGTTCTTTTCCGAACACAACCAGAACGGTGCAGAGGCCGTGGTATGGCCATGGGCTCCGCCGCTCAACGGCGAGGGTTGACATCTCTGGGTTTCGTGGCCTTTCCCTCTGCTGACAGCCTCAGGGTCCCAAGAAGGCGGCTGCGGTCCGGGCATCGCACTCGCATTCAGGCCAGAAGTAGGGGAAGGGCAGGCAGCACCAGCTGCTCCGTTACCACTTCTTGCCAAGAAAGTCAGTTTTCCCCAGGAAACCATGGCAGACCTTCCGTTCCATTCCTTTGGCTGAACCACGTCCTGTGGCCACGTGAGCTGCCAAAGCGGCTAAGAAAACAATTCTCTTTTCCAGCTTCTTGTGGGCGAGGCAGGCAAGGGGGTGGAAGGGGGGAACGGGGCTGAGTCGAATGAGGTTTCAATGAGGCCTCTACCTTCTCTGGAGCCCGACCGCAGGTGGATGTCTGTCCCCCACACGGCGCAGGGCCATGGTTGATGGGATTAAAGGGACAGAGACCAGGTTGGCTGTCATCCGGGAACACTGCTGTGCCCAAGATGCAATGTCACTGCACCTAGATCCTAAGTCAACAGCACGCCACCCCGTAACAGATACGAAATAATACAGCGACCGCCAATATGGGGCCCTTACTCTTTGCCAGACCCGGTTCTAAATGCTTGTCATTTATTAATTTTAATTCACTCAATCCTCTTACCAGCCCTGTGAGGTGGGCACCCTTATCTCCATTTTAAGAATGAAACTGAGGCCCAGGGCGGTTAAGGCATTTGCTCAAGGCCACCCGGCAAGTAGTGTGAGCAAGAAATAAAGTTGTGATGCTTTAAGCCACTGAGGTTATAGCGTGGTTTGTTACTACAGCATCACCTGGACAATTCTGAGATATTATGCATGTACTCTGACATATAATATATGTGATATGTAACATAGATTGCATACCACTTATATAAGTTAATTCACATGTAAGTATACTGATGTCAGTATATAGTTATATTATACATTTATGTACATGTAAGTGCATTTACATACATTCACGTGAATATAAAAACCTTCCTTCACGCTGAAGAAACAGTGCTTTGCCCCTGGAATAAAGCATCCTCTCCTGGCAGCCTGGCAGTGTGGGGGGGCCAGGCACGCGGCTGGGGGTCCCGAGAGGAGCTTGGCAGGCCTGGCGCTGCTAGAAAGACTCGTGACATTTGAGCAGTATTTCTTTCTTTATTTAAAAATATATTTTTATTAATTTCAGTGAGGAAGGGAGAGGGAGAGAGAGATAGAAACATCAATGATGAGAAAGAACCATTGATTGCCTGCCTCCTGCACACCCCACACTGGGGATCGAGCCCACATCCTGGGCATGTGCCCTGACCGGGAATTGAACTGTGACCTCCTGGTTCATAGGTTGACACTCAACCACTGAGCCACACTGGCTGGCCTGTGCAGTATTTAAAATGACAGTCTTTGTTGTATCAGCCAGGAGAGGGTAGATTAGCTGAGGTAACAAGGCACCCCCACAAGGCACCCCTTCCTCACGTGTAAAAAACACTTCTGTGCTAGTGCACCAGTCACCACCTGGACACGATCCAAGTGCCGGCTGGGAGAG